GCCCAACTTCAGTCTCATTAGCTTTATAAAGGGATATGGAGAGGAGAGGAGAAAGAGGAGGACAGGGAGGGAAAGGAGGGAGGAGAGAGACGCTGGGGGGTCAGACTGGCGAGTGATGAATAGGGTGTTACACAGTGGAATGAACCACTCTGGCCATAAAAGGAGGGGGTGGGGGGGCTATAAAGAGCAACAATATGTTGCAAACCTCTTCTTAAATGTGATCATTTGGAGCATAAAGAGAGAGATTATTCATAAGAATACTGAATTAAAAAAACAACTTCTGGTCTTCAGCTTATTTCCATTAGTTGCAGAAAGATTTTTAAAACTTTTACTTTCTTCTTCAGATTTGACCCCCTTTTCTTTACTGCCCCCCCACCACCCCTTCCTCCCCATCGCTTCCCTGCTCTGTTTCTGGGAAGGCAGCACTTTGGGGTAGAAAAACAAGCACCATGGCGATGCACAAAGAACAGGTTTCACCACAGTTATTCACCACGGAACTATTTAGGATCAAGTTTCACGACTTGCTGCTTGTGTGAGTATATTTACTAAAAGGCATTTATGTTACTGACACTTGTTTGTTTTTTTAAAGTGATGCCCTGATAAGGATGAAGCAAATAGTTAAAAAGTTTATTCTATATTCTTACTCTTTAAGTAACAACAAAGTTCAGGACCTAATATTTCAAATTGTGACTGAGAAAAAGGAAGCATAAAACATTTAGTTTGGAAGGATTTTCGTTTTACCTGAAATTTGTGAATATTTAAACACATACAAGACAAAAGGTCACAATCATCTATCTGTTCAATAATTTATTCAACCAATATAAAATAGAGTAAATTTAGAAAACAAAGGTTTGATTTAGAATGAGTTTGGAGGACTGTGAACATCAGGGTTCTGACATGCTGAGAGCTGTGGCCCAGGTTCACGCCCAGCGACATCACTAGTGCGTACAGGCGATGGGAAAAGTGAGACGGGGAGCTTGTGTGTTGCTGGTCTTTGTGTACGGTATCGCATGGAAGCGCTGACTAATGAACTGACTCTCTAACAAGTCATCCTGCTCCACTGGCCTTTTCACAGCTTTCCTGGCATTTGGTCTTAAAAATAATTTCACGTCCCAATGTGTTTCCCTTAAACCGATAAGCCATGCTTTGTCTCCGCTGAATTAAGGACGATGACATTTACAAATGTTCCCCATGCTGAAGATGGGGGGGGGGGGGGGGGGGTTGCATTTTACAAGGGCTGTTTTAATAAACCCAATTTGTTTTACATTCACAGAAGCCTGTCAACCATCCACTGTTTTGTAGTCCTTGATTTAATAGCTGCATAATTGCCACAAATGTAGGAGGTTTGCTGCGTCGACGCATGCAGGTATTTCTATGCACCGCTGTGCGTGCATGTATACTGTAAGCCCTTGGGTGTATGATTTTTCTAATAAAGAAAAACAGAAAAAAAGAAATTAACCTCCATTAGCTTCATATGGCTTAAACCGCTAAGTCAGGAGCTGATTTGGCATTTTGACGCGGAGCCTGGATATTATATTCATTTGCCTTTTTCACATTCTGGAATCACATTCTGATTACATAACATAACATGCAGCATGCATTTGTATTCTACATTTTGCTTCATTTAAAGCTGCAAGTCTTTTGTGTTTGCAGATTGCAAGAAAAGCTTCTGCAAACGTTTATTATTTGTAGGTTTTTGCATCATCTACCATATTTTCTCAATTTGTTTGTCCCTCTTGGAATGGTAGCAGTATCCAAACAGTATGTCAGGTGGTTGGAAGGACGGATCCGAGCGTTTGATGATGATGCCACTATGTTTATGGGAAGATGCTTTCCTTAAGCCCACAGATTCTCCCCCCCCGAGCCGTGGGTATTTGGACCTTCTTCGCTATTTTGTACTTCCTTGGTTGCTTCTCAAATACTGCTCTACTTGTGACTTTAGTTTGATGGTTTGCAGGTCATCCATGTTCAAAGGAGCTCTGCGAGATGTTTAAGATTTTGTTTAACCAACTAAACCTCCTTTAGACTTCTGCGAAGCGTTGGTCAAGCACTGTTTTGCATTCATGTGATGGTCAAACCTAGCCTCGTCAGACCATCCTG